AATCGACGAAAACATACGAGTGACCCACATTTTTATATTCGCACCGCGCTGTGTCGTGATATAAATCAAAAAAAAATAATATATAAAATAAAAAAAAAAGAAAAAAAAACACAGAATGTGAAATGAATTTACGAGGATGGATCCCGGGCTTTCGTTCTCGCCACTTTAAAAAGACTCGTGCATCTAGCAATTCATCTTCGTAGCACGCTTCGTGCGTGTACTTTTAAAAATACATACTAACATCGGCAAAATGAAAGAAGAAAAGAGCTTGCAAGCTTGAATAACACGCTGCCTGCCTATTTTTCATCTCGTATGTGTTCCTTTTTACACTCTGTGGTAGAGTCTAAAAGACTCGCTTTGAACAACTTCTAAATTATGTGTTGGACACAAAAATTGTTTGTCTTTTATATCAAAGTTAGATATATTTAAATAAAACTTGTTCGAATAAACAACGTTGACTTATTAAAATTTTAGACGACATTCGATCGAAAAGAAAATTTATCGTAAATTATATCAAATTTAAGATTTATTTGAAACTTGATGTTCTTAAAAATTTTTGAAAAATATGACGGTCCATCAAAAAGAGAAAGAGAAAGAAAGGAAAAGAAACAAGGTATCTTAAAATCTTCGAAATAATTATATCAACAATAAAAATTAATTACGCTATGTAACGTTAAGATTGATTCAATCCAAAATTCTTCCGTACGACATTTTTGTAATTTAAAAGTTATTCTAAAAGTGAATCATTCTATAGATTCATCAACATGTCATTCATAACATTTCATTTATTTAACTATTTTTTTCTAAACTTAATTTTTCCTTTAGAGAAAGAAAAGGTGTGGATCTATTAATTGAGAAAAATTCTTGAAGCAAATTTAAAAGATCATTGCGGTAGAAAAAGAAACACGGACGGACATCGATCCTAATTACATTAATTTGGGAAAAAGGAATATAAATCTTGTGTTGGGGTTTTTCCGAGACGGAGAATTTTTTATTTATGAGACAAAGGATGAAAAAAAAAAAAAGAAAGAAAGAAAGAATAAGTGAAGAAGTAAAAGAGCTCGAGTAAAGCTTATTGGGATTTTATGCAGGCAGCATTTTCGGCATCGTTAGAAATCTTGTCGAATGGCTTCTATGCTCGGCGATGCAAAAAAGGAACTCGAAACGGATGGTTCATGAATATTTCAGAGCTCTCTTCGCTCTTTCTGGAGAGAACGAGGTCGATATCAGCAACGAGGTCCTTCGAACTCGTCCTTCAAAAAATATCTCCAAATGGTCTAAATGCATATGTATATACATATATACATACTTATGTATATATATATATATATATATACTTATCGTATCGATCATCAGATACTTATTCCACGTTATGGGAAATTTTTATATTATTGTGCCCCTGACGATAGCCCACCCTTCGTACAAGTATGCAAAGGAGGACATCATTAATACAGGCGTCTGAATATTTTGCTATGTAAATAATATATGTATATCGAATCTCTTTTAAAGTACATGGATCTCATCGAATTGACATTATGCAAAGCATCGAAAAGATGTTTCCATTGATGGAACTATTTTGTTCGATATCCTATTACTACATCTGTTTTTTTTCATCATACATTTTCAAACATTCTCAGGAAAGGAATCTCGTGTTATCCGTTATCAGATAGGTCGAGGGGAGAAAGAAGGTATATCACGAACGGATCTTTTCTAATATCCATTGGAAGAATCGAGAAGCCTTATCGATCACGTTCTAGTCCTTGACAAATGATTTCACTTGGATGAGAATTTCAAGAAACAACAATCTCCTTTGTTAAGAGAGAAAATGAAGTAGTAGAAAACGATGAGAACGATGATCGAAGTGATTTCCTTGTTTTAACTAAACCACAAAGTATTCTTTTTTCTTTTCTTGAAAAAAAAAAAAAAAGAAAAAAAAGAAAAGATATTTTCACATACCTTGCGTCAATAAAGATGTATATTTGTGATCGATTATGTAAATTACATAAAATTAAAACAAAATCAATAATCTTCCACGTATTTTTCTCGTATCGTTCTAGTTATGGCATAATTAAAGACCATTTTCATAAACATAAACCCACTTAAACTCACAACGTATGAAAGTGATTTATATTTAGATATATGCATATGTATATACGAGTACAATTTAGGTCACATTCATAATCATCAGCTGATTTTAACTAATGATAATATTTCGTGAACCAGAAAGATCTAAAATATATATAAAAAGATATTGCATCAAAATGAGGAACTGCGGAAATAAAAAAAAAAGAAAAAAAAAAAAAAAGAAGAAGAAAACAGAAAAAAGAAAAAAGAAAGGCAAACGAAGGAAAATATGTTCTCAGGAGAAATGCAACTCCTTCAAACAGAATTATTGAATAGTGATATAAATTTTAATGAGCTTCCATTAGCTAATTTACAAGGGAAAACCTCATTGCTCGTTATTGGTCTTTCTCGATAGGATCGATGCTGTGTACATATATATATATATATATACATGAGTATATATATATATATATATATATATTATATATATATACATGTGTATGAGTATGTGTGGTGAGTACTTTCGATCACGTTTGAAATGGACGAAAAGGTCGATAGTGAGATTTGCTACTTCGTTCGTGAATGAAATATCGTATCTACCGTAGAAAAAGAAAAAGGAATAAAGTTAAAAAGAATGAAAATAATAAAAAAAAAAAAAAGAAGAAAAAAGAGTAAGGTCGAATGTATTAACGTCGATTTAAGAGCAAAAGCACTTAGGAAATGAAGGGCGTTGCAGTGGGCAAAAAATCGAGATGCTTGGTTTATCCATTTCGAAGTACGCTAAGGATGACGATAACCAGGAGAAACAAAACGAGAAGCTTTGAAATTATCGAGTATGATAAATAGAACATGTACAGTCTGTATAAGAAAATGTCAGTATATATATACATATATATATATATACATATATAATATATATATATATATATATATATATATATATATATATTTATATATACATATATATACATACATATATAATATATATATATATATTTTTTTTTTCAAACACAACTGATATAATCAATCATACGTGAAAATGATTTAAATATAAAATATAATAATAAGCTTAATCAAAGTCATTTTGTAATTTTTTTTTTTTTCTGCAAAGACAATAGAAAAATAACAAAAAAAAGAAAAAGAAAAAGAAAATTCTATTTTCCATTTAATTATTAACAACCTACTTAAATACGTAAAAATTTAGAATTGCTCGTTATGTTTTTATATCAAGGAGTTGTTCTTTTTTTTTTTTTTTTTGAATCTTACTGTACGTATACAGTGTCTCCAGAGACTTTCTTTTTCTTGATATTCCCTATCTGTCAAGAAATACGCTTCGATTCACACGAGACCGATACTTTTCAAGCTTTTTCAAACGCATTTTCCCGAGATACATATATGCATGTACGTACCCATTATTATATTTGTTGGCTCAAGCATCCGAGGTGTTTCCATGGTAACAGCTTTTCATATTCTTTTCATCCTCTCTTTCTAACTCATTGAAATTATCATTGAGATCGTAATTATATTAATAAAAAGAAAAAAAAAAAAATATATATATATATATATATATATATATACATAATCGTACGCGTTAATATATTCGACTCAATACGATTCACATTTCTCCTTTCTTCAATTATTCAAATGAAAATTGGATCAATGACTCGCAATTCTTTATAGTGGTTTTCGCAGCATCCCAGATACGATCCATTTCGTAGATACGTTCATTATAAGAATACCTCTCGGATATAGAATGTCCTATAAATCTCAAACTATTGAAATTGAATTGAATTATATTTGTATATATATATATATATATATTTTTGTTTTCCTTTTTTTCGATTTTTATTTGTATTGAATATAAAAAGTACGAAAATTTAAGTATTTCTAAAATAATTTATAAAAGTTCTATATTAAAAAAAATTAATAATTATTTATGTAATATTTATTTGGATAATACGAACAGATTTGGAAAACGAATGTGAACATTTTTTTTTTTTTTTTTTTTTTTTCTATAGTTTGAGAATTATAGAACATCCTGTATGTGAAGATGAATGATTCACAATAAACGAAGAATAACTGGTCTGACTCCGCGAGGTTATATATTGTTCTATCACTGCATGGAAAAAGACTTTCATCGAGCGATCGAAAGAGACAGACAGAGACTGAGTTCGTGTACGAGATTTATTCTGCAATATATATTTTCTCAGTGCTCACATTGTGGAATATATATCGCGCGTTGAATTGACGAGGCGATAAAGATCTTGTTCATTATAAATCAAACTTCGTGATAACTTCAGTATATAATACCTATATTTATTATACTTTGTATATAAAAAAGAATTTTATGTAAATAAATAAATAATAATAATGATAATAACAAATAATAATAATAACAGTAACAACAATAATAATAATTACAACAACAACAATAATAATAATAATAATAATAATAATAATAATAATAATAATAATAATAATAATAATAATAATAATAATAAAAATAGTTGATCAAACGTAATTGATTAGTTTTATAAATAAAAATAATTTAATTAAAAATATTTTAATATATCAAATTTAATAGATAACAGATTCGTATATATATATAAATATATATATTTAAATTAGATATATTTAATATATATATATATACAATCTAATTGCTTATCTTTTTATATAATTTAAAATATTAAGTGTGATAAATTTTGAAATTCTCATGCTCCTAACGATAGGCTTTACCTTTAGACACACGTGTATATATTGTATCATATATATAACCTATAATATCTGATTGATGTTTCAATGTAAAATATTAAATAATAATAATAATAATAATAATAATAATAATAATAAAAACAAAAAAATGTTATACTGTTAAACAAATAAATAAATTAAAAAATATTATTACTATAAAATGTATATTGTATAATACTTACCTTCTTTTCTATTTTGGAAGCAGCATTTTCAACGATTTCTCCCGCCGATTTGACGAGAGCTGCTGCGGCTTGTTCCTTTCTCGACATGTGGCCACGGAAAGATGCTTGTATCTTTGTTGCTGCGTTGCAGAGTTCTAATAAATATTAAAAAAAAAAAAAGAAAAAAAAAAAAGAAAAAAAGAGAGAGAAAAAAAAGTGAAGTTCGATAAAATTGCCAATATTTCTTTCTATTTTATCATAATGATATGTCATCGATTTAATAATATAGATTTAATTTACAAATAAATAAATAATAAAAAGTGATTTCACGTTTTCTTTTCTTTTTTCTTTTTCTTCGTCTTTTTTTTTTCCTTTTTTTTTTTTTTTTTTTTTTTTTTTTTTGTGACAATCATAAAAGATCTAGAAGAAGCTGCGGTTAAACACTTTTTAATGGTAGAATTGGCTCGAGCATAGAAATAGGAATCGAGCAGCAATCTTTTTTACTTCGATTCTCGTGATTCGAATCTTCAATAACGATACTACTACGTGTCGACGATGCGCTTAATGCTTTCCTTCGATTCCACGAATGTGTTGAAGAAGTGTACGCTTTGAGAATTCTCGATCGTATGATTTAGAATCATGATATTAAAGCGATCCTCTGGATTTATCGATATACGTTTTTAAGATCGTAGAAAGAATTTCTTGATAATAAACAGCGATCGTCGATCTTACCTTCTCCAATTTTCTATATATATATATATATATAGATATTTATAAAAGATATATATATATATTTTTTATATATATATATATATTTTTTTTTATATATATATATATATTGTACTAACATATATACTTATACAACTTTTTGCTTCAATATTGTACGAAATTGTATTGTATAAATATTTCCTTTTTCATTTTCTTTTTTTTTTTAAAGAAATATCGAATTAAAAATATTGTATTATTATATAATTGCATTATCGTGCAGTATCGGAATAAACTATGTATAGATAATATATAAGATACGTAGCAGATTCTTAAAAGTGTGTACAAGAGTTTCTAAGTGATTTAAAAAAAAATCAATTACATCTTTTCGAAGCTTTTCCAGTTAATTGTTTCTTTTTTACCGAATTACAAAACTACAAGCTGGTTGGCTAAAGTTTACGAAAAAGAGTAATTGATTTTTAAAAACCACTTACAAACTTTTTACTCGCTCTGTACATATATATATATATACATATATATATATACTAGAGAAAAAATACTAAACCTAAACAATGAGTCTTGTACGGTGAAAAAATAAAAAGAAAAATAAAACAAATTAACGATGTTAAGGTGTTAATAATAGTTCAAAAAATTAATATCAAATCGATTAAAGATTTATTATTAATAATTTTATTAAAATATTTACCTTTATCGTCGGCACGGAATTCCTGTTGTAATTCTTCCTTGGTAGGCTCGGATTCTGATTTGTTGGTCCCCGTTTGTTGTTTCGAGGTATCAGTCTCTTTCATACTCTTTCTCGCGTGATGTCCACGAAATGCTGCCTGTATCCTTGTTGCAGCTTCGACCTTATGTTGATCCGAAACGTCTTCTTCTACTTCTTCCTCTTCTTTCTCTTCTAATTTTTCACTATTCTCCTCCTTTTTTACTTCAGACTTATCCTCCTTCGAAGTCTCCTCCGATTTTGTTTCTTTCGTACTATTTTCAGTGTCGTTTACTTTTGGAATATCTAATAAAATAAATATTAAATTAGTTAATACAATTGTCATCTCTCTTTTTCTTTCTCACTATCTCACATCTCTATCTCTATCTCGCTCTCTGTTATATAAATGTATTATATAAAAAAGAAAAATAATAAAGAATCCAAATCTTTCATGATGAATTATCCAACGTACTATCTATTCTTATTTATATTAACTTTGAGCTTCATTATCAATAATATTATGTCATATATAAATACAAAATACAAGTTTAATAAGATTCTTATCTAAAGAAATAAAGACTAACGATAGGCAAACAACAATGCATTATCGTTATTATTATCATCATTGTCATTTCATTGTTACATTATTTTCTTAGATAATTAGTGAAGAAACTTAAATTAGTAATTAATCATATACATAGCGTGTATATATATATATATATATGCATACATATAACTTAAGAGTGTATCAATTTATAATTACTTTAATACAGAAAAAAAGAAAAAAGAAAAAAAAGAAAAATACAATTAAATTTTTCAATATAGGCAATTATATTTTGTACTGAAACAAGAGTGAAGCTTTCATTAAGGAAACATGTTAAATATTTTCTCATAAAACGTGGACTTTATCAACAGGAAAATCCGTACACAGTGATCGTTAATTACTCGTCTTAACGAGCTATGAAAGGAAAAAGAAAAAAAAAAAAAAAAAAAAAAAAAAGATAGAAAGAAAAGAAAAATCAAGCCTGACACAAATTGCTTCTCATTTTGTACTTTCCAATTCTCGAGTATCTTCTGTCATTTTTCCTTCTTTTTTCTTTTTTTTGTTTCTTTCTTTCTTTCTCAATGCTTCACGATGCGAATTCTCGTAAAATATCGTCGCCAAAATACGTATGATTCGAGAAAGAGAAAGAGAGAAATAGAGTAAGAGAGAGAGAGAGAGAGAGAGAGAGAGAGAGAGAGAGAGAGAGAGAGAGAGAGAAAGAGAGAGAGAGAAAATACAAGATGAAAGGAGTAATTACGAGCGTATGCTTATACACCTACACATAAATAGATGCACACAAAAGTATATTGTAAAAGATATACACACGTGTGTCACTTACAGTGCGACAGCAATGATTCACGCGAGTCTTTTTCTTTGTATCGTTTTCCTCCTTTCATTATCTCTCTTTCTCATTCTCTCTCTCTCTCTCTCTCTCTCTCTCTCTCTCTCTCTCTCTCTCTCTCTCTCTCTCTCTCTCTCTCTCTTTCTCGATCTTTTGCAGAATCTGAAAGTCTAGTTTCTCACGTTTTTCTTCTTCCGTGAGAAATTTAAACCCCCGAGCTATTATCGATCGTGATATCGAGTGACTTTATCATTTCTCTCTTTCTCTCTTTCTTTATCTTATGTTTTTTTTCTCTTTTTTTTTTTTTTTTTTTTTTTTTAACGTAGAAGCATTTACTCGCGAGAGAAAAAGAGAGATAGATAAAGAGAGAAAAAGTGAGAGAGAGAGAGAGAGAGGAAGAGAGAAAAAAAAGGTATTTTTAGTCCATATGGATAAGCTTTTGGTTCACTCGACTCGATTCAACATTTTGCGTTAATAATTACGACTATATTTGCCGTTGAACGACACACGACTGGAGCGAAAAACGAGATAAAATTATGTCGGAGGTGTGCTGGTAGAGTGTAAAAAAGGAAAAAAAAAAAAGCGAAAAAACGACAAGTCATAGGTAGTAAAAGAGAGATAGAGAGATAGAGAGAGAGAGATAGAGAGGGAGAGAGAAAAAGAAGCTTGTTACTTTGTTTTTCCAACTCATTTGCGCCTACGAGTTCAAATATTTTTTTCTCTTAGAAAACGAGAGGCAATATAGAATTTCTTCCATCTCTCTCTTTTCTCTTTACTCTTCCGCTCTTCCTTCTCTCTTTTTTTTTTTGTGTCAAGTGACTCGCCACCCCAATCTTTTGATTGCTTTCACGAGACGTGAAACTATGACAGTCGGGACCGAGAACTCGACCGACTGAACTTGCACTGAACTGTTCGAAGACGAAAATGTTGAAAATGAGTTAAATTTATCTTTTAGTGACGTTTGGCGACTGAGTATAATGTTTTTTTTATTTTTTATTTTTTCTTTTTTTTTTTACTATTGGCTCTCGGTACATTGAAAAAGCAATACGTGCCTTAAGTAAAAATATATAATAATGTTTGCAAATAAGCAAAGGCGAATGTACAAAAATTGCTTTGGGAATACAATAACATATGTGTCACGAATAACATATGTGTTTGGAGTATTGCATATTGCCAGGGGGCAATTTTTTTGCAAATTAATTTGGTTATTCTACCGCTAGATGACAATTTACGCAATCGATCATTGCTTATCGATCATAATCGATCGATCGATTGTTATTCAAAATCTACACCCTAGATTTTAAAATGTTGACATGGCAAATTTACAAAAATTTAACTACAAATTTAAATGAAAGAAATTTTAATTTTTAATATCATATAAAAACAAAAAAAAACAAAAAAAAAAAAAGAAAAAAAGAAAAACGTGCCATCTGTACAATTGAAGTCATCTTTCGCTTTAACGAGGCTCACCTTCACCTTCTTCGCATTTAACTCATGGATTTTATAGGGTCGAGTCACGTCAAGATAGGGTGTGAACATAAACGCGCACATATACAATATAAACACGAAGTTTATAGTCAAGGATAAAACTGTTCCGACGTTAGAAGATTAAAAGGTTCGAGGTTTTATGCTTGTTAAAACGTAAAACTTGCTCCGATTATCATTCAACCGGAAAACACTATTATATCAGAAATTCTTTTTTATTTTAATTTATTTATTATAACTTTTATTTCTCTTTATTTCAAGCGGCATTAAAGCAACCGAATAAACAACGGTCACCACGGAAAAACTCGGAAAAGTTCGTAGGATGAATTTTCAAGTTTTTAATATTCGCCAGAACGAATACGAACACTTGGCATAGTTATAAGTTTCGAAGGCCTCCAGGAAAATGAAGAAACTTGCTTATTTTATCTTTTCTCCTTGTCTATCGAGACGGAGATGCAATTTTTTATGTTGTCGAGAATATATTTTTGAAAAAATTAATGCGACACAGACAGGTACGTTTTTAAATAAACAATCTTCCCGTACATTCGGAAAAATATTATATAAGTTATATAGCCAAGGGACGAGAAAAGTTTCTCTCGAAAATTGCAATTTCAAAAGTCACAAGTAGGTAATGTTTATTTTACATGCACGTAGTATTACTTATGTGTTTTATATATTGAAGATTCCATTTTAATAAATCATTGTCGAAACTAATTATGATATCGAAAAATAACAAAAAGTTATACTTTATGAATATATTTTTCTTTAAAGGTCATCGATTATTTTTTAAATGACGTAATATATTTTTATTAATTTCATATTACTCTCAGAAACGGAAACAATGATCCTTAACGATCATGTATACGATCGTAAAGGATTTCTCATAAATTTTAATTTTATTCTAAAAATAGGGTAATTGAATAAAATTAAATACACATAGATTAAAATACGCGTTAAATAATATTAATGATCGCAAAGTGTTTTCTCAAATGTTAATACATCGAACAAAAGCTTTTTGATTTTTTGGAGAGGTTTGGGAAATTTCAAACATAAACGCGTACAAAAAGGTCGGCACGTAAGTTATACAGTAACTTCCTTTGTAATTTTCCCTCTTTGGAATTTCTCTTTGGCATAGTTCTAGCGATATACTAAGAAAACTTCTTCTGGTGGATCAATCAAGAATCTCCTATTAAAGCGTGGAATTTAGTCTGCGAGAAGCTCTCAACAGTTATCTTCTCTCGTGTTATTACGTAACGTCGAAACAGCTCCGTTTTTTGACGTGTTGAAAGTGCCCGCGCACTCACATCTTTCTTCCAATAGGAAAAGCCTTGACCTTTCGAATTAACACTCCAGTTTCATTCTTGTCAAATTAGTCACGGCATTACAAACTTTAGTCATTTTGACGATAATCGATTAAAACGATTATTCGATTTTCCTTTTATTTCTCTCTCTCTCTCTCTCTCTCTCTCTTTCTGTCTTTCTTGTTTCTTTTTATCTTTTCAACTCGATGTATCCCCCATTATTTAATAATTCACGTTAACGTCTGTCTATAATATTAAATATGACAAGCTATCTAAAATTGAGAAGATAATTGGAAATATTAAAAAAAAATATTTTCCTTTTTTTTTATTCTTCTTTTTTGTTTTTTTTTTGTTTTTCTTTTTTTGTTTTTTTTTTTTAAATTTGACGTCGTCCCTCAATCGAGATTCGGTTCAATTAACGAAACAGACAATTTTGGGAAACGAAACATTTCGAGTCATGTCCAATTGCAGGAAAGCTCCTCCACTGGGGATACAGTCGACAATACTTGATATTTCGATTGGTTCCGACGTTTGTTTCGTCGGAATGACGTCGATTGAATTTCCTCCATCCTCCTAGATTTTTACCTATCTCGCTTCTCCCCGCTCCCCCTGCCCCGCTTTTCCACCCCTCCCCCGCTCACTTACACTCCTCATCTCCCTCTATTTCTCCCGATCTCTTCCAATTTTACTGAAAAATTTAATAAAAACTCATGATGCCACGTTAAAGATGAAAGCCATTAATCGACCCAAACTTCCACTCTCTTCTTCTATTATACATAATACGCGCAAATACTGCCAGAAACAATGGAACAGTAAAAAGAGGAAAAAGAAAAAAAAAAAAAGAAAGAAAGAAAAAGAAAGAAAATTTCCAAGCAAATGTTCTCGAGTTTCTCTGACATGAGTGAATTTATTTTTTTTTTCTTTTTTTTTTTTTTTTTTTGGAAAGAGAGGAAAAATAGAAAGAAGTCGACCCTTGATCCAGTTTTCCTCATCACACCTTCTTTTTTTCTTTTTCCCTCTACCTCCCTCCACCACCTTCCTCCGTTCCGTCAAACCGTGCAATTTCGTCATTATACAATTATTCCGAATTATAACTTTACTCGGTTTCGTTCGTACGAAGATGTTTGAAAATTTA